TCTTCCTCCTCATTTTGAAATCGCAGACCTAGGGTTCCAAATTTTTTCGGTCGGCCGTTTGGATTCAACCGCTGCTTCTTTCAGTACTTTCTCATCAGTTTTGTGGGTAATTTCTTCCTTTACCTTTTGATTACTGAGTTCTTATGTCTACTTTCTCATCTAGGGTTTTAGTTTTAGGGCATTTTGTTAATTTGCTCTAAATTTATTCTTGTTTACAGGAAGTTGATAATTTCTGTTATCTTCTCATAATCATGCCTCCCAAACCCCCTAAAAAGAGATCAAAACCAGAGTCTAGTTCCTCATCTATAAAAGCCTCACATTATGAGGATTATCTACTCTTTAAATCTCTTGTTAGGAAATACAGGGAACTGTGCAAACTGAAAATCATTCCTACCATATATATCAAATATTCTGAGTTATTCATGTATAACACTGAGTCTATCCTTCACAATGTTGGGTTAGACATGTTGCTAGATGAGGGACATAAAGTTCCTTATTATCCATTTCTTGTTTATCTGTTTTATGCGAACCTGTCCACAACATCTTCTGCTGATGGTAGTTTAACCATTACATCATCAGTGAAGAATGTTGAAATTACCTTTTCTGCAAACGAACTTGCAGGGATTCTTAATATCCCAACAAGTGACGTTCATCTCATGTCTGTTGATGTTGGTAATCCAGATGTTAACTCACTCATGTTTAAGCCTGGTTGCTCTTACCCAATGAGCAACAATTCTCTTAATCCTAATGCAAGACTCATTGCCAGAATTATTGCTCAGAACTTAATTCCCAAAACCGGTAGCTTTGATCATTTCGCTTCTGATAAAATTAATGCTGTTTACGCTATTTTTGCCAAAATCAAAGTAGATTGGGCAACTATCTTTATCAATAATATGGCATCAAAGCATACAAAGTTTCTACCTTTTGGCTCCTTTCTCACCCACATCTTCAATCACTTCAATGTTGATCTTACAAATGAACCCAAGATTGAATCCACGAGAGATTTCTTTGATAAGGTCTCACTTTCTAGAATGCAGATGACCCTTGACTCCACTCCTTCATCATCTTCTCACTCCTATTCTAGAGCCTCAACCTCTTCCACTTCTGATATTTGTGACCGTCTGGATCGCCTTGAGACTCAGTACTCAGGTATTCAGAAGCAAGTCTTATCTATTCAGAAGGATGTTAGGACTATTCTTTCATTTCAGCGTACGTCTCTTGGGATCCCTTCTAATTCTGAGTCTGATTCTGGTGAGGATTCTGCTGATGGATCAGGCTCTTCTGATTCTGGAGATGGTGATGATGGTGATGGTGATGGTGGTGATGATGGTGGTGATGATGGTGGTGATGGTGCTGGTGATGACTGATTTGAATTTCTTTATGTGATGGTTATCTTTGTTTTTTATGTTCTCTTTTGGAGATGACTGATTTGATAACTCTGTTTTATTTGAGTGTATTAACTCTATGATACTTTGTGGAACAAACTATGTATGGTTTTGTGTGATCTTTTATGTAAAATTTACTATCTTGTGAACGAATTCATGTTTTGTGCAAAACTATATTGCTTCTAATGCTTATGTGATATTTTGTGGCCTATTGTGTTTAATTTATTTCTTTTATAAATCAATGCATTGTTGAAACAACATTCAAAATTTGATGTGTGGTAAATATCAGTTGCCTGTCATGAGTTCTTTGCACTGTTTAGGTTTTATATATTTATGCAAATCTATGATGCTAAAATGATGTTTTGTTTATCATGTTATGATTAATGCATGGTTAAGACTATAATCATGTTTTGTTTATAGAATTTGAGTTACTCATATCATTTTTGCATATGTTTGATGGATAGTTGTTGGTTTAGCTCCTGTATATATGATCAGTAGATGTCATTCAGTCTTTTTGACAGGGGGAGCCTTTGACATACAATTCTTTATTTTTCTTATCTATGCTTATAAGCAGGGGGAGCATTGCTCCTATCTTTCATTTTTCCCTTTTTGATGTTGTCAAAGGGGGAGAAAATAATATATATGTTTTGGCTTATATGTGGATTATCAGTATATATTTCATATTCATGTATAAATTGTTTGCCATCATCAAAAAGGGGGAGATTGTTGACCCTATAGTTTTGATGATGATTTGACAAACAATTTATTACTAATAAGTTTTCTAGTGTTTTGTGTTTATGTTCTTTTTTCAGGTATTTCAACACGCGTTAATCAAGCGTTAAAGATTCAAGTTCATTTGCGTGGATTTACCTAGGTATATGTTTAGTTTACTTACATATATAGTATGATTATATCTAAGCTCAATATATATACAATTAACACGATTTTTGACGTTTTCTATCATATAGATGATTTTTCATTAAACGTTGTTAAAATACTTTATCTCATGTTTACAGCTCCTTCATACTTCACTATATACATATATTATATGCACAATATATATATGAATATTTACAAGTCCTATATCAAAGTTCACTTTCATAAAAATTACAGGTTTTCTAAGCATTCTTCAAAAACAGGTAGTTTTCACAAACGAAAATTAATTTTCCAGAAATTCTTTTTCAAACATGTTCATTTCATCATTTAGAAACTTTCCCCAAAGTTTCACTATTTTTGGATGTGATTTGATATTTTTAACAAATTTTTATTTTTAGCTGTTGTATTGGGGTGCTATATATACTCCATTGCTGCTCTTCTTCTATATAATTTTTTTTTTCAAGAAATCCAAGTTTGTTGTTTAACAAATTATTAATCACGTTTAAGAGCTGTTTAAGAGTTGTTTCATCAATCTGTTTTCAAGAGAAGCTTTTCTACAACAAGAAGAGGCTTTCAAACCCTATTGGAATCATCAATTCTTCAGCTCTTCTTGTTCATTGAGAAGTTTTCTAAACTCTTTCCTATATAGCTTATTATTTCAATTTCATTTGATTAAGCTATATTCGTTGAGTTATATTTATTGAGTTTCATTCACTTTTATCACACACACTTATTGAGCTTGATATTCTCATATTATATATTGTTGGTTGTAGTGTGGGATTTAGTGAGTGTGAGCTTTATTGTGTTCTCACTTGTTAATTGAGAACAAATCATTGTATTGAACCTTTATTTGTGAGATTCACTTGTAACACACTTGTACACCGAGAGAAGTGTGAGGAGAGAGAGACGGGGTCAAATCCAATAGGAGTGGCGTCGATTGACGAACCTAGGGAGAGGTTGTAATCGAGCACTTGAGGAGGAGGACACGGGCTAGGTTCCTACACTTAGTGTGTAAAGTGTGTTTGTTGAGTGATTGTGTAGTGTGAGAGTTTTCGGTGAACTTGTAAACCGAGTGTGTAGAAGTTCCGGCTTCCAAACCGGATTGTGATAGTGGATATTGTTGGCCTTCTTGTTCGTGGGGACCGAACCTCGTGAACATATCGTGTGTTTGTGTTTTGGTTGGCGTACATATTATTCATCTTTATTGCTCATATTCATATCATATTTATTCTTGTAAGAACAAATTGATCAACATAACTTTTAATTGTTATTAATTGGGATTAGATTAGCATAAGACCCTAATCACCCCCCTCTAGGGTCTAACAATATGATGTAGAAAAGTGTCTATTATTTTCATCTTTAGGAAAATCTATTTCTTCATATTTAATTGAACCTTTTTCAACTATTAGATCTATAAACTTTTGATCAATACATTTCCATTGTCCAGGAAGAGACAAAGAGCTGGGTGAGATCGGAGCGGAGAGTCGGGAGAGTTTATCAGTTTAATCACTCCACTTGATGTTTGAGAGGTCGGGAGTTTAATCACTTCACTTGATCTTGATGTTTGAGAGAGGAGGCGGTGGGAGGGAGTGGGATAAAGAGAGAAAGAAATAGGGTTAGGGTTTAGGCTGAGGGACTAAAAGAATTGAGGGTGGGTGGGCCATACCCAAGATGAGGCCCAAGACAAATGTCTTAAATTACCTTAAGGTAGGGCCGGCCCTACTCTATTGCCATATCATTGAAGGAAAAGTGGTCATAATTGAAAAGTTAACACCAAAACTTTAATGGATCTAAAAAAAAGACTAAAGTTGCATTTAATAGGGGGTACAAATACTAAGTTGAGAAAAAAATGGAGGGACCAATTACAGCCTCTATTATTTTCTATAACTTTTAATGAGCTTGCATACGTAGAATTTGGGAAACCAAAAGTGAAACTAAGAGAAATATGATTATTTGGGAAATATTGTCCTTTCAAATTTTATTTATCGGAACTTTTAACGAAGAGTTAAAATATGATTAGCATTGCATCTAACAAGGAATACGAGGAGCAAGTAGAGAAAAAAAAGTACGATGATGAATTTGAATATGAGAGTCTGGTATTGGCCTTTTAGCCTAAGGGCCTGTTTGGTTCAAAAATTTTGGGCGGAAAACACATGGAAAAATACTGACAAATATTTCCTCTGTCAGAATAGCTAAATGGATTCATATTCCTCAGTTTGGCTCACAAGAAAACAATCAAGAAAATATTTCAGAATCGCCAGAAAACATCATCTTTTATGGAAAACACAATTTTGAGTTTTAAGGCAAAATTCCTTGAAAAACGCATTAAAAAATATTAAAAAAACGGGGTTGATGGTTTTTAGAGAAATACATGTAAAATTCTAACATATGTCTTTTCTTAATATGCTCAATTCCTAATTTCGAACCAAGGCATGGATTTGTGATGAGACAGATTTTCCCTTTCCTTTTGATGTGCGAAACAAAGCCAAAAAAAAAAACCCAACAAATGCATAAAAAACTAAAAAAATACTTTTTTTCATTGGAATCCTATTCGTGTGTTACGTGTGTTACATGTAAATGAACCAAATATGCCCTAATATTATCTAAAACCCTAGAAAAAAAATATTTTTTGTTTTTCTAGAAAATTAAGCCTTAAATCAAAATTTTGGAAAATGGGAGAATGAAAGGGGGAACTACCTAAAACCCTTGAAAAAAGATTTTTTCGGTTTTTAAAGCTGTTTGGTAGAACTTATCTACAAAAGCTGAAAGCTCTCCAAACGGGCGTCCTTTTCTGCAAAGTGGCGACAATTTAACTTCCCCGAGCGGAGCAGGGTATTTTATGTCTAACAGGCGGTGAGGCCACCGTCCATCTTCCCCAGTTTTCACTGCAGTTAGGATCTTTGAGTCCAAAGGAATCCATGGCAATGACCCTTGCGAATTCTTTAAACCCCCAAACCCTCAACGCTTTCAAGCCTTATCTTGTTGAATCCCTTCCTCTATTCTCCACTCAAAAGCCTCAATTTCCCAAGGCCTCGCCTCGCAGCACAAGGCTCAAAACCTCAAAGGCTACTTCTTTAGTTCCTATAAGCAGAGCTCAGACTTCTCCAGGTAGCAAAATATTAAATTTTTAATCTGGTTTTGTAATTTAGGGCAAGATTTTTAATGGGTACTCGTTATTTTTGTAGATTATTCGTCGGATGTGAAGTTTTGTAAGGTTGAAGCCATTATAAGGTGAAAAATTCTTTGGAAATTTACAGTTAAGCCTTTTGAATATGGTAGTTTCAGTAGTTTTTTTTCATGATATTGGCACATTTGCATTCTCAATTTGTGTTTCTCGATGGTGATGAAGGCCATGGAGAGTGCCGCATGTTTCATCGGTAAGTTTGAGAGTTTTTATTAGTTGGTTTGGGATATTGCTGTAGTGTTTGATTTAATGGGTGTTAGAAATTAATGTTTTTTCTTTTTTTTTTCTGTTTTTTTCGCATGAGCGAACAGGGGCTGTTGAAAATGGGAATTCGAGGGGTGACGGTTTCTGATGTTAAAGGATTTGGGGCTCAAGGAGGGTCAACAGAGAGGCATGGTGGTAAGGATTCTTTTAAACTACCTATTTATAAAATTGCATTCCTAAATGCTGGCATGCAGGTTTTTTGTGGATTGTTTTTTTAAAAACAATCCACAAATGTTTTTTTAAAAACATTCCTAAATGCTGGCATGCAGGTTTTTTGTGGATTGTTTCATTGAAAGAGTTGAGCTTCCTCACTTCATTGATGCATATATAGCACTTACAAGTTTGTTTTGGTCTGTGTCATGGATTCCTTGCACCGCAATTAGTTTTGGTCTGCCAAAAACCAAAGGTTAGGTACTGGATGCATTCTAGGAGTTTCATGCCAAAAGTTGAAGAAAAACTGATAGGAAGGTATAGTTTGTGAGGGAAGACGTGAGCGACGAATATAGGGGACCATTTGAAGCTTATTACAAAAGGCATATTATTAGGCTTGAGAAGACAATACTGAAGACTCCTCGGCGAACTTGCAAGTAATATGAACCGAAAATCAAGAATGAATTCAATGTATGCTCTCTCACGCGAAGCTACCTACTTTCTTTTGTGGGGAGGAAATGAAGAACTGAAGATGACAGTGTACCTGGTCAGTCTTTCTCTATTTGTTCAACTTGGTGGCTATATTCCTGAGGAAGTTTGGTCCGTTAAAAATGTATCTACTGCACTTAAGGGTTTTCAGGTGCAAAGCTTTTGAGGATAGGAATGAAAGATCAAAGTTTGGTAATAAATCAAGGTGATGCGTCTTTCAGTGATACCCAAAGGAAGAATTTGGCTATGGATTATGGGACCTGATTGCAAAGAAAGTTTTTAAAACTATAGATGTTTTGTGCTTGAAATTTCGAACTACTGAAGCAGCAAAAGTCAAAGTCTTCGACGAGTCATTAGGGAAATCTAGATCCAGTTCTGTCTCCCGTGGAGCATGATGATTATTGATAAGATCTAGAGCCATATCATAATCACCCGATATCTCCAAATAATGAGATTAAATGAGCCTTCTCTAGATATTACGTGGGCTATATAAATGAGTTTCAATCAACAATGTCGACAGTGATCATCACTCCAAAGAGTGGACATGAAACAAATTCAACCAAAAAAAGAAAAAAAAAGAGAAAACAATGGGGGAACCAAATCAAAGATCTGATAGTGAGATGTGAGCACTATTCCCAGAAAGAACTGCCTTGGCATTTTGTAATTTAGAATAGTTGATTTTCTCATGCTCACTCCTCTCTCCACACCTCGTTCTATCGGCCCAAAAATCTTTGTTTCAGAATCCTCTTGCCTATCTCCAATTCAAGATTAACTGCTTAGTTGCACTTAGTTTAATTTTAAGAGCATGCAATCTTTCATCTTCTTAAGGTTTGCACTTTCAATGTTCACTTACACCTAGGGGTGTTATCGGAGCGGATACGGTTCGGATATGACACTTACCATATCCATATCCGCTTTTTATAAACGGAAATGGATACGGATCATCTTCGGTAAGAAAAAACCTTAACCATATCCGCACTTATCGGAAACGGATACGGTTCGGATATTTGAGAATCGGATCAGATATGATCACAAATATAAACAGATATTCGACAAATGAATATGAATCGAATATGAATTAGTACACCTATGCATAAATTACAACCAAATAGGTAAATGTATGTGGTTGTAGGCTTCTCCTTAATTCACATATAATTAGAATTACTCTATATAGTAATAGATAGTTTCTGAAGACAGTTACAGAAATGTAATATAAAACTTTCTGAGAATAGTTTCTGAGAATAGATTGCAAACAGAAGACTCCTCTAAGAACAAGTAGCAGACACACACAACAACCAAGTCCGAAGACAGTTGCAGAAATGTAATATAAAACTTTCTGAAATCTACTCAAATTCCTAAAATTCCATCTGATAAATGTCCAACTTTTACACAATGACATTAGCTGCACTAGCAATCCTCGGCCACAGATTAGCTGCACTAGCAATCCTCGGCCACAGATTAGCACATTCCTTTCCGAATGGCCCAATGATGGCAGAACTTGCAATGAATGAACATGACATAAATTACATCAGAAATTAATTAAAAGATAAATGATCTTTCTCAAAGAAAATAAAATAAAAGATAAAGGATTAACATCTTATAAATACACAAGATCAGTTCACCAGGATTGGTTATATGAGGCTTGTTGCTTTAGATGCTGTAGAGCTAAACACATTGTGTTCCATAATCACTAATTTTTTATTCAACTAAAGGTGATACAGATGTAGCATTAATCCAAGAAAGGAGCTCTGGGTTCAAACCTCAAATGCCTTTTGTATTCTGGGCGCCTAGGAAAAGTAAAATTAAAAAAAACAAATGATAACAGCAAACAAAAGTAACGAGAAGGTACCCACAAATGAGAAATAATAAAAAAAAAAAAAAAAAATATAAGACTACGACGAAGACGAGGAATAGAACGACGAATGTGGAATGAAGATGAGTGATCTAGCGACGGTTGGAAGCGGCGCGTAAAGGTGAAGACAGGAGTGGATTCGATGGTGCGACGCCGACGAGGACGACGCCTGACGACAGACAGAGGCTAGAGGAAATGCTGACGGACATAAGATTGGGATAGGCGCGAGAACGGCGAAGACGACGCGGTCGGCAGGACACAGGCGGCGGGATGCAGCGAACAACGAAGATGATGTCGGCGGCGGGTTGGGAGTCTTAGGTCGGGACTCGGGAGTCACGGGACCATCGGGATCTGACGAATTTGAGTGGAGGCTGGAAATTGAGTGTATGCGGAATGAGATATCAGGAGGCTAGAGTTTTTAGTTGTAGTTGGGTTTTGGGTTAGCGGTTACAGGTTTGTAATTGTAACTTTGGATACGACCAGAATCATTATTACATTACGGATATCCCTATCCGCAACCTTCATATCCGTATCTGAATCCGTATTCGAAAAAAATCCGAAACCGGATCCGTATCCGAAATCGTATCCGCTCGGTTTTGAAATTAGCTTACCATATCCGCATCCGTTCAGATACGGATGCGGATCGGTTCGGATATATCCGAACTGTTTGGCACCCCTACTTGCACCCTTCCAACTTTCTTGGTCCACAAAATTATATATTTATCTCAAAGTGCATTCTCTCTAAGAAGGACCACCGAGCAAATTGACTGAATCCCTTCATAACTATTCACACCTCCTTTTGTGGCTATGAGCTATTTTTATCACTCATAAGAACATAGATAGATTTTGAAGAAATATATTCTTTAGGCGTGAAGATACCCTCAATCGGTTATGATAATCAAGTGTGATCCATCTAACTGAGAATTTCACATACAATTCTCCTTTCAAGTATATTAATTTATGGTATCGTTGGATCTGAAACATGCAATCCCAGTTTCAACTTGGGAAGATCCATACTGTTGACATGTCAAATATGATGACTAAATGATTGTCCATGACTATGATTAAACTTGAAACTTATTGCAGGATGGTAGGATTGGTGGTGACTCCAACTTGAGTCAAAATGGTAGATTTGTCAATGGTTCAAGTCTTAGTGTGATCCGTACTTTGAGATAAAATAAATAAATGTTGTGTCAGCAATGCTTAGAAAGCAATAGACACTTCTAGGAGCTAGACCAAGCATCTTGGTGCCTAGGTGGTGTTTAGGCAACAATAGACTTTATTAGCATTAAGAGAGAGAGGTTTTTTTTGGAAGATTCAAAATCTTATCATCACTATTAACCTGAGGTGGAGTTAGATATGGAAATCGGTTCCATATTGATTTGGCCCATTCTCTTCATCCTTTATCTAAGAGAGTAATATACTTTTTTTATATGGTGCAGTCTATGTAAGCAGCCTATGCTCTTCTAGGTACTCCCAAGATCGAGACAGGTAGCCTAAGTTTTGTTTATGCCTAGGTGGGCGCCTAGACTGCTTTTTAAGTGGAAAGGGTGCAAGTCAACAATGAAAAATGCAAGTTTTGAAAGATGGAGGTTGCATACTCTCTTGAAATTAATGCTGCGAGTATTTAACTACTTACCGTGGAATTGAAATAGACAATAACGTTCTTATATAAAACCTTTTGCTAAGTGGGATGAGGTATGTGAGCTATGAGAAAAAAATCTTAAGAGTTCTGAAAATAGCTCTTTTAAGTGTCAAGCAATTGTTTCATCCTTGATCAGTTTTGTTGCCGGGCTAGTGGTGCTCACATCCAATCGTCGGACTGTTGATTAGATTCCTCCTTAGTTTTGTAATCCTCCTTTGAGTTCGTTGCTAGCTATCCATTCTTTGGGGTGATGACTGGTGAGTACTTTGTATACCCTTTGGCCGTGGCAGAGCTAGAATTTTTTTGGGGCGCCAAAATACAAGCATAATACTATGTATCAATGACAAACCAATCAAGTATGACAATGTATAAATAGCTTTCAGCTATATAAGTAGGTGAAAGAACCTAAAAAAAAGGTTTTACACAAAAAAATGTGAATACTTAATCATTTCAATATACACTCATTGTTGGATCAACACTCTTCAATCCTAAAGTCTCTTTGGAAAAAATGTATCGATTGTAGTTGGTTTTTCTATAACAACAAACTAAAAATTATAATCTTTTTGAGAACTTGACAAATTGAAAATACACTACAAATTATGTAATTGAACTTATTTAGAACAATAATAAGAAGAAATGAAACAATTTTAATTATCAAATTTATAAAATAATTGCATGAGCACATGAACATAGAAAATTCATTTCATATATCTATTTCTTAATGTAAAAATTTATGGAATTGGAAGAAACCCATTTTAAAATTCCACACAATTGTAAAACCACATGAAAATATGTCTCATTTCAAATTTCTACTATGAATGCAAAAGTGAATGGAAATTAAATTCCCATTTCCCTATTATACCTGAAATGCAAAGAAAACTACTGGAGAAGATGCGTGTATATATAGGTTTTTTTTATAGTAGTCCCGCAAATCTTTTAAGTGATTAGAAATTAGTCACTCTACTTAGAAGTTTGTTAAAATTGAGAGAATATTATATCATCTTTAACAATTTTGGGCGTAATAGCAGTTATACGCATATCCATTCAAACCAACGTACCGAAGAACTTCACTGGATTAGAAGTTGGGGATAAATTATGCAACAATTGGCTTAAACTACTGAATTTGTGTCCGATTTTGGTGGATTTTGATGTTGATTATGGTCGATTGGTAATTACCCGTTTCTGATTACCATTACCCAACCGTGGTTAACAATTTTGATGGTAAATGTAACAAAAGGTAATTTCAAACACTTCAAAGAATTGGGGGACTAATTGCAAAATATGAAGCTTTGGCAGACTAATTTCATGAGTTGGGGGTTTAATTTCAAATGTGAAAGCTTTGGAACTAATTTCAATATGAAAGATTTGAGGGACTTATATGGAAATAAACTCATATGTTCCCCATCCAATGCTATTGTAATCCCATTACATAGAGATCATGGATGATTTTGATCTGGACTTATGTCCTGTGATTTTTTCCCCTTTGCAGGTTTTCCACGCAAAAAATCATGTGCTTCATTTGATTACTTTGCTACTAGATTAGAATGTCCATTTTATTACTGACAATCAGACATAGTAGGAAACTTTTAGCAATATGTTTTTCCCAACAGGTATTCTACTGCTTTACTAAATGAGAGAATATTTACATATATGCTTACTTCTCTTTGTAAATCTAATTTTAAGTCATTTTCGTCTCTTACAAAAGACCTCACGCCCACCATACCTCTGTGTGGTCTATAGTCCAGCCCACTCACAAAGGTTTGCTTTGACATAAATGGTTTGCTTTGACATAAATCGGACAAAACAGTTTTCTTTTGGCAAGGAAGATTTTAGTCCACACTAGAGGGCATTCAACAATGTATCCATCTTTCATCAATAGAAAAAAAACCCAAGCTTAGTTCAGGTGATTCATTCTCTTATTCGAAGAGTGGTATTTGATTCTGATCTTCCCATGTGCAACCATAAAGTAGGGGTGCTCTATGCAGGCAAGGCATGTTACGAGGCTTAAAATGGCTGTTTATGGAGGCTACTTGCAAGATAGTTACAGTCTAATTTATCCTGCATCGTAATTGGAGTCTTTCCTCCATTGTTCAGGCTTCCTGTGTCTTTCGCAAATAAAATAGCATACCCATTTCGATTTCCTGATCAATTTCTTTTCATTCTTTTTTCGGGTGGATACTGGAACAAAATTGGTCTCAACTAGTCATGAGATTTCTGGTTCAAGTGTAAATCCTGCTGAGCAAATCTTGTCAGTGACACAAGTACTCTTTTATCTTATTGTTCATATTGATGGATTCTTAGTCACCCACTCCCAAATCAAACAGTTGCTCTCACTTAGTAGGTGAATCAAGCAAAAATCCCATTAGGGCTTTTTGGTGATACGGATGTACTGAAAAAGATTGACAAAAAGCCTATATAAACATATGGAAAGATATATCTTCTCGTATATCAGCCTACCACTTTCTAAACAAGTGTCAGCATCCCACTTTCTAAACAAGGAACAGCATCGATAACTACCCTTAATAGGCTAGTACTTATCTGAGTAAAATCAGTCAATGCGAAGAAAAGAGTAGAATCAGTCTAATGTGAAGTCTCCTCTTCAGAAAGAAAAGCGGTAGCTTCTTCTCCCAAGTCTTCCTCCTCCTTAGGCATCCATGCTGTTCAGTAGTTCACTAGTCCAGCCTGGTTCTGAATCTGAGATGGTTAAACCTAGTTCCGTTATCTGTTTGGAGTTATAGGATCTTGATAGGATAGTGGCTCTTTGTTAATACGAAGGTAAATTGGTAACAATAGATGGCATACAGGTTAACCTGCATACTTGACTATTTGCAGGATGTTCTACAGGCATCCTATTCTTTACAGCTGGGAGGAGCAAAATTTCCGAGAAAATATCAAGAGAACCACACAGCATCTAGGAGAGAGCTAATGAAAAGATCTAAATGATGGACATGTTGGGTTACAACCTAGAGCAAATGGTGGACATGATAAATTTTGAAGGACATGGATTTAAACAGATTCATGAAAGTTGATTCATTACGTAATATTTGGCCTAAGCTATTTATCAATTTCTTAGTCATGTTTGATCAAGAACAAGCAAAATTTGGCTCAGCCCAGCCTAACCCAGATTGAACTTCATTGTCATATAATTCTTTGCAACGGATGAAATGGGCTAAATCTCAAAGTACCCAATTATAATGGAAATTTATATTGCAGTAGTCTACTAAAATTAAAGTGGTAGCCCGAGATTATGCCAGAGTTTAAAATGCAGGGTACAAAAAGCAGGGAGAAACTAGGGGAACTTTTGAAATAATTTCATTGTACTTTTAATTGTCGTTCTATTTGCAATGTATATATTTTCCCCTTTATATTTATCTTTAATATGTAGTTCTATATGTTTATGTCCACTCCACTCTTTGAAACTTATTGCTTTACTCGCTAAGCTTATTTATGCATGGCGGGTTACTCACATTTTCTTACTGAAAATGTGGACGTGCAGGATCAGAGTTTTCAGAAGACAAATTTGTAACTAAAGTTAAGATGGAGATAGTGGTGTCCAAGGACCAGGTAAGAGCAATACTCCAATAAGAAGTATTTGAATGACTTATGAGGAACATATTTCATAACTGCGGAGTTCTTTCATTGATATTGTTTGTTTATGGACTCTTCACCGGTTTACCATGAATATCTTGTTTGCTCAGGAATACATAACTTATAAATTGATTTGCTTTTCAAAAAGAAGAAGATGATATGTGTGGCTCGATATATAGTTGGTAATGTGCATGTAGTTGATGGACTGAGCTCTTAAATTTGTAGGCCTAAATTTTGGCTTGGGTTTGCTCTGGGCTTCAATATACTAAGCCCCGTCGTCAAGCGGGCCTTTGGCTATCGGGCATGGTCTATATTAGGCTAAGATGAGCACTGTAATGGAATAACCTGCAATTTCAATGCCATGTTTTATAAAATTAAGGTTTCAAATCAACTTATCTTGGGAAGAATATACAAGTCAGATTCTCTTGTTGATGTGGTGATGAAAGAACGAGCCTTTTAAATTAATAGCTCAAAGTTTCATATTCTCTCATGTATTGGAGCTCATAAGTCCTATGAGAAATAGAATCTCTTTAACCTTAGTGGTTGGGGTCTAAAACAAGGACAAATAGGGTCTTAACACTAAAATGTTCAGCGCCTTAAACTTTGACCCTACTCCTACGAAGTTATGAGGAGGCCTGACTTGTTATCCTCACTTTTGTTTGGGAGAATCTAGTGTCTGTGATATCATAGCTTGACTAGAGTGCAAATTATAATGCGTTTCGACAAGGAAAGTTAGTAAAACCCATGATTATCACTTGGGAATTTGGATGATTGTGTCATGATATGTTTACTGTGGAAGGAAGGAGGGAGGCTTACCTGTTTATTTATTAATTCAATCCTTTTCATGTCAGTAAATCAGCAATTGTTAGTCCACTATAACTTTTTTGTTTTGATGGCTAATCCACTGTAACTTAAGAGTTCACGGCCAAGCGTCTTGACGAGAAAAAAAAGAAGGGAAATTTCAATGATATGATCTGCATGTTTTTGAACATGGAAAGGTAAATGCCTTCTTGTAAGCAGCTGGAATTCTGATGTCTTTCTATGTACAGATGCAACAGGCTACTGATTAATTGTTCATACATTAGATAAGCTCATGTAAAAAGTAATAACCTATGTAGAGTCTTTGATATATCATACCGATATCATCTTCTTTCGTCATAATATGTGTTCATTGCTAGTTACATTGCTCTTTATATCTTAGTATGATAGTCTATCACTTAATGACCTGATGCAATTTCTTACTTTGAGCATAGGTTGATGCAGTAATTGATAAAATTATTGAAGAAGCGAGAACTGGAGAAATTGGTGATGGCAAGATATTTGGTGAGTACTGATTCATCTCATAGTCTATGTGACTTCTGACTTTATATTGTCCAATGTTGCCTTTTAGCCTGCACAATTTAATGTCTGAACATCCATTAATGTAAAAGATGTATGGTGTTTTATTCATGCAATTTTTTATTCATTTCGCATTTATAGTGAGCATATCATCCATCACTTGTTGCAAGCTGCTATTCAGTTTGACAATTTATTTCTTTCTATGAAAGGAGAATTTGTATGGCACTTATTCAATTGACTCAATAATGAAAAAGAGAGAGCAATATCTTCAATCTCTTCCTCTCTATTCCCCTTCCGTTGGAACTTAAAATAAGAGACTTTACAGTGAGACGCAACAGTTTGTTCTTGTGCAATTGTTTTATCCCTCAATACAGTGTATGTGGATAGCAGAATAGGTCATCAGTTTGTTTTATCTTAGTCAGCACATAAGAAGATAACACATTACATATTTTCTAACGTCTTATTCAATCATATTATGCAATATTCTTGACCATTTATTTTTGTAGATTTCAAATTTGTTTGGGACACTATTAAGCGTGCCTTTTGAATAAATGAATAGAAGAAAGAAACTGACAATGTTCTATATATTTTGTGCAGTTATACCTGTTTCAGACATAATAAGAGTTCGTACAGGTGAGGCAACAATACTTTTGTTTTATAGGAAAGCTTGTTCTATTCTGAATTGTTAACTAAATTCATTGTCTAAAAGTTGATACAATTACTTTCCTACTTTGTGTAGAGATTTTGTCTACAACTTTTTAATTTCTTTCTCTCTCTTTTTTTTTTTATATTTGCAAATTTGATAAATTGGCAGGGGAGCGTGGGGACAAGGCTGAGAGGATGACGGGAGGTCGTGCAGATATGATCTCTTCTGCATCATCTAATTAGAACATAATTTTTTTTTAATGAAGATCAACCCCTTTTAAGAACTTTAAACATCAGATGTAGCAACTTTTATGTTATTCAATAAAGGGAGGAAATAAAGTTCCTATTCAAAGATAGACACGTTTCAAAATTCTGTTCCTCAGGACAAGTGTACCGAACTACCCATCTAGCCGGGAAATGGGAACTGCTTTTGACTACTGACGAGTTTAGACTTTAAAGAGCATTGCTTGCTTGAATAATCATTACATTTTACACTCTTTTATGATAAGTATATATTGCTGTAATGAAGATGGAGACATTTGATACTGACGAGAATTCTTAGTTCTGTAAAAAGGTCAAAAGAGAAGGATAGGTAGCCTAGCAATTTTGCGCGCAAATTGTTTGCACCAAGTGCACCTCTATTTCCTATTTCCCTTCCTGTTTGTGTTGTTAAAGCAGTGTCAGATGATTATGTATAGATTCGTGTATCCTTGCCTAGCCCATTCATTGAAATTCTCGATTTTAAGATTGTTAAGAGAAATTGAGTATGTTTTCAGCATTCATATATAAAGTGAAATGGATATGAACATTTACATAGTTTCTTTGTTTGGTTATCATATATTCGTTTGTAAATTTACTCCATCTTATTTTATGTTATTATACACAAAATGTTGTATTTTGTGTCCACGCTAGCACAAAACATGGCAGTCCAGACGGTTTTCGTAACCGTTTAGACAAGCCAAAATAGCCCAAATGGTTTAAACCGTTTGGGATAAGAAACCCAAACGGTCACAACCGTTTGGGCCATTAAAAGATTCTAAACGATGCATCCAAACAGTTTAAACCGTTTGAGATATTTTAGCCCAAACAGTTTAAACCGTTTGGGAGTTTTGATTGGTTTTAAAAAAAAATTAAAACTCTTTTTTCTCCGTTCTTCCCTATACTAAACTTGCTAATTCTCCCAAAAATTTCCTCAAGAGTCTAAAACCGGCGCATCCTCTCAAATCCCTAACCACAATCTCACATAATCAGATTCATCAACCTCATCGACCCCCTCAACATCCCTCATCTACCCCGTCGAAGTCCTACCGTGATTGCACGCCAACGTACCTCCCTCATCTTCGCCGGGGCTCTCACTCCTCACCTGCGCTAACGTACCAATTGCACTAAAGACGCTGCCGCCTCCATCGTGGTCGGAGCCTGCAGCATCGCCTCCACTGCCTCCTCCTCCAGCGCCAAAATCTCTCCCATCGTTAACTTCTCCTCACGTCGCCCCCTTCTCCTCTGTAAATTAATATTATCTCCTCTCTACAAAACCCAAAACCTAATTTATTTGACCATCTAACCCAAATTTCCCTATTTATAGCAAATTAACCGACTTCCCGACGTCGCCTTCTCTTCCTCAGACATCCTCTTTCTTCAACAGACTTATTTAAGGTAATTTCTGAGAGTTTTCTTATTTTCAGGAAATATTGAGTTTTTCTGCTATTATCTTGTATTTTCTGAATTTTCTGGTTATTCATGAAAATTAATGTAATGTATGATGTTGCTATTGTGATATGTATGCAATTATATTTTCATCATTGGATCCAAACTAGTTAAAATTCTAGGCAGATCGAGGAAGAGAACATCGTAGTTTTCATAGCATTTCTGTCAGTTAGCAGCATTTGTCATTTGTCATCTTGTCACATTTAGAATTATTAGGCACAAAATGTTCTGACACAGTAAGTTATCAATCATCCGAGATTAGTATTGTCTCAAGCTACTCAAACATATATCATATAATTGAGCACATGTCAGATTAAACATATGCATATATACAAGGAGTGTCCATGAAGTTTGGGTACGGGTAAGTGTCGGGTACGTGTCGGTATGAGTACGGCTTCATGATAGAAGTACTCGAGTAACATAGAGTGAAAGTTATCTTTAATATATGTAAGTTATTAATGAGCGGCTGTTGTTTTCCTCTAAACACTTCTTAAATTATGAGTTACATTAATACCTCATGGTTTCTATAATATTTACATATTTTTTATTTTATTTAACAAGATGAATATGTTTAAACTTTTAATTGGCTTTTAATTGTAATCCTATATTCGAAGCAAGGCCATGATCATGCTTAGCTTATTCCCTAAATCCATGTTTTAGAAGTCGTTACTGATAAATCATTTTATTTAGGTTAGCATGGCTCGTAACTACATCAGAGATAAGGATTGGATGTACGTGGGTCATGCAGAACGCATGCAATCTATTTTTGTTAATGGACTTAGTGCTTTCATGGACTTTGTACGTAGACACGATATGGTCTGACATGAGAGACTCATTTGTCCATGTAAAATATGTGTGAATAAGTTGCATCAATTGGAGGAAGAAGTAGAACTTCATATTGTGAAGAATGGTTTTGTTAGCGATTACATAACTTGGGTATATCATGGAGAATTTGAAGGTCTCAGTGATGCAGATGAAGAAGAACAAGAAGAAGACAACGTGTTTCTCAATGAGGAAATGAAGGAAATGGTTGAGATAGCTCCTGGTAGCACTAACCTTGCTGAAGATCTTCCTTTTGGAGGAGGACATCGTGAAAACAATTATGATAAATACATGAATGATGCTAGAAGACCAATTTATGAGAATACAAAACACTCCATGCTGTCATGGTTCGTCCATCTATTCCAGATTAAATGTCTAAATAAATGGAGCAACAAGTCATTTACGGTGCTCCTTAAGTTTCTTAAAGATTCTATGCCTCTGGGGAACCATGTGCCTGAGAGCTGGTACGAAGCTCAAAAGACAATGTCTATATATGGGTCTGAACTGTGAGATGATTCATGCATTTGTTAGTCTAGTTTCTCTTATACTGAGATTCAGATTCTAAATTTTAGTCAATCGATCAAATTCCAGATTTATCGATCACTATAAAAGGAATCTTTTTCAAACATGAATGTAAAATATTATTTGACATCAAACTCATTAATCCAGTCCTAACTCGAGAATTTAAAAACACATAATTTTTAATCCAGTCCAAACTAAAATAAAAATAACAGATAAATAAATAACATAATAAATAAATAAATATATATATATATATATATATAAAATATATAGATATATATATATATACTATATATATATATATATATATATATAATATATATATAGTATATATAGAGAAGAGAGAGAGATTGAGAAGACTGCCACACTCTACAGAAGAGAGAGACTCGAGATTCGAGAGAGAGAAATTAATGCGCGTACCTTGTCATAGGAGGATTCCTCTGGACGCCTCTCAAAAATCACATGCTTTGGAGCGATATTGTGGATGAATCCGCTCCGTGAACTTGATCTACATATTCTAAAACCCCAATCACACAAGTTTGGGGTGAACCCGTCGTCGTTTGACCCTTCATTCCACTCGTATGCAATTTTAACTGTTGTTGAATGAATAGAACTTTTCACATGGCTCGAGGAGCGGTTCAAACGACGACGAATTCACCCCAAACTTGGTGGTTGGGTTTTAGAATCATGTAGATCATCAACGGAACAGATCATCCATAATGCTCGCTCAATCATGTGAATTTGTAAGAGGCGTTAAAGGAGGAAATCCCCTCCTATGCACAAGCATACCCATTAATCTCTCTCTCTCTCTCCTCTATATATATATATATATATATATATATATATATGATATATAGAGAGAACGAGAGAGAAGAGAAAAATGGTATACTTGGTACAGGATCCGTTGTAGTGTTGGACACATGCTTGTCCATACATCACCACCTTGAAGAATGGAGCCTCACCAACTTCAAGTGTGAATTATGACAAGATGTGTCCACATCTACTACAAGATCCGTTTCGCCCAAGTATACCCATATTCCTCATATAATAAATATATATATATATATATATATATATATATATATATTATATATATTATATAAGAGAGAGGAGCAGAAGAGAGAGAGAGGAGAGAGAGATTCTGGCATTAAAACTGCCTATCATGAGATCCATGAATTAGGGCTTTTCCCTCTCATCTCTCCTGGCATAAAATATCCTTCTCATGAATTAGAGCCTTCCCTCTCACATGGCAGTTAAGTGAAAAGCAGTTGTGTCTATTTCCCTACGTAGGGGAACAACCGGGGACGAGCATTAAACGAAGAGAAACTTAATGGCAATGTTATCTTTTTTTTTGTTTGTGAGTAACGTCGCTTTTGAGTAAGCGATTTCCTCCGCATGCCTCGAGAGTGGACATAGTTTTTACTAGCTAAGAAAATTTTATGGTAGTCATATTTTTTCGTAGTTCCTACCGTCAGTTATATCTCACAACATATATGTAACCTGTGAAAACGGCAAAGGAACTGAGGAAAAGAATTGAGAAAAACATGAAAAATAAGCAAGACAGACTCCACCACACCCTAGTGTGGTGTCTGCCACACCCAGGTGGCAGGGTGTGACAGAATCTGCCCTGTTTGTCATGAGTGTGGTGTCTGCCACACCCTGGTGTGACAGAATCTGCCATGTTTGTCATAGGTGTAGTGTGTGTCACACCAGGGGTGTGACATACTCGTTTTTAAAATCCTAATCTGTTTGGGATTGTGTTTTATTATAAATAGAGCCACGTTTTTTAGGGTTTTCTATCTATTGATTGTGTAACTTGAAGGTGATTTTGAGCACCGAAAAGAGAGATCTTTCTGAGCAATTTGTTTGAGGGTTTAGTTTGAGAGATTTGAGAGATTTGTTTGAGAGGTTAGTTGAGTGATATTGTAATCTCTACTTTGTACTCTCTTTCTCTATAGTGGAAACCTATCCCTTTTTGCCACGTGGACGTAGGCAATTTGCCGAACCACGCTGATACGGGTGTATCTTCTCTTCGGAACTTAGCGATCCTCATGGGAGCTTGAGGATAGATGATTCTCATACTAGCATGAGAATAGGGGGTGTCAAACAGTATAAGGGAACACAGGAGGAAGCGTGGAACAAGACGACGAGCAGAAGAATCGAAGTACCCAGTTTTCAGCCTATGAGTCGACTCATGACTGTTATGAGTCGACTCATCAGGTTGAGTCGACTCATGACTGTCATGAGTCGACTCATCGCTAGTTATTGAGATTTCTCCAGTTTCTGTCGAGTCGACTCATCTTAGTCATGAGTCGACTCATCGCTGGTTATTGAGATTTCTCCCGTTTCTGTCGAGTCGACTCATCTCAGTCATGAGCCGACTCATCGCTGGTTATTGAGATTTCTC